TGCAGGAACAGCAACTCATATTCCGCTTGGGAACCCTGCAGCCCCATGGTATCAATGTGGATTTCACAAGCTTCAAAATCTCCCCTCTCCCTACTGCATCCCAAAACCAGTCCAGCTCGTCCCCGCCTCCCTAACCTGTTCTTCCTCCCACCTATCCCCTCCTCCCACCTCAAGCCGCACCCCCATCTCCTACCGGCTAACCTCATCCTGCCCCCTTGACCTGTCCGTCCTCCCTGGACTGACCTATCTCCTCCCTAACTCCCCAACTACACTCACCTTTACTGGCTCCATCCCCACCTCTTCGACCTGTTTGTTTCCTCTCCACTTATCCTCTCCTCTATCCATCTTCTATCCGCCTCTCCCTCTCTCCCTATTTATTTCAGAACCCCCTTCCCCTCCCCCATTTCTGATGAAGGATCTCGGCCCGAAACATCAACCTACCTGCTCCTATGATGCTGCTTGGCCTGCTTGTTCATCCAGCTCTACACCTTGTTGTCTCGGATTCTCCAGCATCTGCAGTTCCTGCTATCTCTGATGTGAATTAACCAGTTTAGTGTAGAATTGGAGTCACACATGGGCCAGACCTGATGAGGACAGCCAGTATCTTCCCGGAAGCACATTAGTGAACCAGTTAGGTTTTCATTCAAACCTGACAACATGATCATTTTTACCCATTGCATATTTTTAAAAAACAAGTTTAAATCCTCAAACTACCATGATGGAATTTAAATTGACATCCTGTTTTGTCTATTCTTCCATGGGATGTGGACATCACTAGCTAGGCCAGTATCTACTGCCCATTTCTAAATACCATGGAGAAGAAGAGGGTGAGCTGCCTTCTTGAACCACTGTACTCCAAGTAGCTGTAGATTAACCTACAGCATTGTTGAGGAGGGAGTTCCAGGATTTTGACCTAGTAACAGTTAAGCAATGGTGATATATTTCCAAGTCAGGATGTTGTGGCTTGGAGGGGAACTTTCAGGTAGTATTGCTCACGTCCAGCTTCTTCCCTTGTCCTTCCAGGTGGTAAAGGTGGGTTTGGAAGGTGCTGTCAAGGGAGCTTTGGTAAGTTGCTGCAGTGCGTATTGTAGATAGCACATACTGCTGACACATTGCAGCAGTGGGGGAAGGATTGAGTGTTGAAGGTGGTGGTTGGAAATGCCAACAAAGCAGGCTTCTTTGTCTTGGATGTGGTGATGCTTCTTTCGTATTGTCAGAGCTGCATAAATCCATGTACCTGGGGACCATTCGCTTATATTCCTGACATGGCTTTGACGTGAACAAGAATTAGTGAGTCAAAAGATGAATTACTTATTGAAGATTTCCCAGCCTCTCATCTGTGTTTGAATGGCTGGTCCCGTTCAGTTTCTGGTCAATGGTAACCTCCAGGATGATTAGTCCAGGCTGCTGGATTACCAATACAACACATAACAGTACTGCACCCTCATGCAAAGCAGTCGGCCCATGTTGCTTTTACTTATGGGATGGTTACCTGTGTTATGACAGGGGTTGGTTAGCTCATAGGTTGGAGCCAGGTTTACTACGAAGAGGGATCCCATGGGTTCAATTCCTGCACTGGTCGAGGTTATCATGACAGTCTGACCTTCTCAACTGTGCCCCTCACCCAAGGTTCTGGTGACCCCCAGGTTAAAATCACTACCAATCATCTCTCTCTAATGAGTGAGCAGCCCCATGGTCCTCTGGGACTATGGCAACTTTGCAGTGTCACAACAATTTTACGTCACATTTTCTGTTCTTCCTTTCCTGATAGGGCTGAACAAATTGCCAAAGCTGAAATTACTCAGAAAGCTTCATCCAGTTCATCAAGTGGAGCACGGGCAGAATTCTGGAGAATGCGTGGCCTGAGAGGTGCAAAGAAAAACATAAGGAAGAGCAGAGATGACCTTTCAGCATTGACTATTCAGGGCAAATATCCCCCCTATGAAAGGGTTGTTCTGAGAGAAGGTACAAACATACAGAGTGTTGCTGGAACAAGATTTAAGGTTTTTTTTAACATAATTTGGCAAGTATCAAGAGTAAACAAGGAGGATTCAATCATTTAAATGACAAGTTCAAAAGGAACCAAAAACCCCAGTGATCCATGAGCTTCAGAGAACTTGTGCTGCAAAAAATGTGGAGATATGGAGGGAGAGAGAAAAGAGAGAGTGTGTGCTTCTGAGAGATTCACACAGACACATTGAGAGCAAAAAGAGGAGAGATTAAATTCACGAGCAGGAGAGAAATACAAAGACAAATGGAAAGGAATAGCAATAGATAGCAGAGAATAGAAATGGAAAAGACAGTACAAGAGAGACATGCAGAGAAAGATAGCGAAAAGAAAGAAAGGGCTATTGAGAGTTCTGAAGTTTGTAAATTATGAATTTTGCAGTGAGAAGGGATTTGTAAATCTATTACTACCAACATACTTAAATCTTTGGAGACAACAGGACAAGTTGTAACAAGGTTATTTAATGTAGGAGTAGGCTATTCAGCCCTTAAAACTTGCTCCATTATTCCAGATCATGGCTGATCAACTACCTCAACACCATCTTCCCACATGATACCATATTCTGATCTCTGGATGTCATTAGTAACTAGAAATTGATCAATCTGTGTCTTGAGCATGCTCAGTTACTGCACTTCCTCAGCCCTCTGGAGTTCAAAATTCTGAAGTTTCACCACCTTCTGGCTCTGAGTGGAGAAATCCTCCTCTGCTCAGTCCGAAATGATCAGCCCCTCATTCTGAGACTGTGTTCCTTGGTTGTAGACACCCAGCCAGTGGAAACTTTCTTTTTACATCTACCATATCTATCTTGTTCAGAATTTTGCAGGTTTTAATAAGGTCACATCTCATTCATCTAATCTGTAGAGAACACACCTTCCCAGGAATTAGTTTGGTGAACCTCCACTGCATTGTTTCTATGGCAAGTCTATCCTTTCTTTGGTAGAGGAACAAAAATCATAAATAGTACTCCAGGTGCACTCTCAACAAGTTTCTACGCAACTGAAGCAAGACATTTTCACTTTTGTACTCAAATCCTCGTATGCTAAAGGCCAGCATATTGTTTCCTTTCCTGATAAAGCATATGGGATCCCTAGCTTTATAACTAGATATATGTTGATACACACAAGCAAGGAAAGTATGCTAAATCTTTTTAAAATCCATGGTCAGGTCTCAGCTATTCAATTCTGGGCACTACACTTTAAAGAAAAAGATCTTAGAAGGAATTCAGGGGAGATTTACTACAATAAGAGAGGAGGGACTTAAACTATGTGGCAAGTCTAAAGAAGCTAGGATTATTCTTACTTGAGAAAGTTTAGGGGAAGGTTTGGTCGAGATTTTCAAAATCATGAAGTATTTATTAGTAAAGTAATTTACTAGAATTACTTGAAGGGTTGCTAACCTGACAACACAGATTTTATATAATTGACAACAAAAGCAGAGGGGAGATGAACATTGTTTTTCCAAAGTAAATTATGCTGATCTGTAATAGAGTCCCCTCTAAGGGTGATGGAAGCAAATTCAATAGAACATTGAAGCAGGAGGAGACTATTCAGCTCCTCAAAATGACTTGCCCATTCTAGATCACTATAGATCATCTATGTCAATTCCAGATTTCCATGCTATCGTAAACATTCTTCTTTCACCTACTCTATCTGTCCAATTAGAATTTTGTAAGCTTAGAACTTTGTAATAAGAGTTGAATCAATACTTGAAAATGAAAAAAAATCTGTATATCTGTGGAGCAAAAGCAGGGCCATGGAAGAAATTGGATATCTCAATGGGGGGGGCAGCATGGTGGCTCAGTGGTTAGCACTTTTGCCTCACAGTACTAGGGATCCGGGTTCCATTCCACCTTTGGGCACTGTCTGTGTGGAGTTTGTACATTCTTCCCTTGTCTGCATGGTTTCCTCCCACCGCCCAAAGATGTGCAGGTTAGGTGGATTGGCCATGTGAAATTGTTCATAGTGTCCAGAGATGTGCAGGTTAGGTGGGTTAACTATGGGAAAATGCAGGATTACAAAGATAAAGGAGGGGCGGGAGTCTGGGTGGGATGCTGTTCAGAGGGTCAGTGAGGATTTGATGGGCTGAATGGCCTGTTCCTGCACAGTAGGGGTTCTATCACTTTATCTCTGCCATAAGCATAATCATCCAAATGGCCTCTTTCTCTGCTGTCTGTATTTATGAATACATTTATGAATACAATACCAGATGAAACCCCTGACGATATTAAATCCTTATAGTATCAGTTCTCTGGCAGTTTTAAATACCCAATAGATCAGGTATTTGACAGCATCAAGTCTTCTACAGTCTCAGATTTGTCACAACTTTAGCTCTCACAATCCATTCTGCTGCAAATGTATATAGTTCCGTGCTATCCTCAAAATGTATTTTCTTTCACAGTTTGAAATTTGGTTGGTGCTGGGGCAGAAGTCTGGAAATGGAAAGTGCTGGTGTGGAAATCACATATGATTATTATTTATTGAACCTATAATGATAATATCAGTTTGTGAATTGTCTGATTCACCAATTACGTTTTTCTTGAAGATTTATTTGTCTTTATCCATCTTGGAACATTCTAGTGACTTGACTCAGACTCTTGTACAGTACTGAGGGAGTACTACACTGTTGGACGATTTATTTGGAAGGTTTAACTGATCACATCTGGACTTTAGTCGATGCAAAACATCCTTTGGCCCTATTCAAAGAAGATAAAAGGAGTTCTCCAGATCTTCTGACCAATACTCATCTATAAAACATTACTAAAACAGATCATCAGTGATTTTTTTCTCATTTCTGCAGAGGTCTTGCTGTGCATAAGCTAGCTGCCATACAAATACCAGTTTTAAAAGTGTTTAATTGATTATGAAGTCTTTTGGGATATTTTGAAGTTGTGGAAAACTCTATAAAAAATACAATTTTTTTTCTAATCACATCCCTTTGAAATTTCTCACAACCCTTTGTAAATATCAAATTTATTACAATGCAGTCTCTAATGTTACTGTAGGCAAATGCTACCTCTATTTTGTACAAACAACTACAGGTGGTATTGGATGAGGATACCTCGAGTCTAGAGAACTCTATGCTTTTCTTTGAATAGCATCATGAGATCTTAAACATCCACCTGTGGCACTGGAGCAGTCAGCCAGAGCTTAGGTTCAATATTCCATCTCTAGGACAGAGAAGTTAAAACTAACAAGACTCTGGGTTACTTCAGTTTGGCGGGGACAAAACTAAGCTGTGAACTCCAATTCTAAATGGCTATTATATTCACTAAACAAAAATGTGCTTTTTTCTGAAGTGCAAAAATTACAATATTTATTAATCAATATTGCTTCTGCTTTAATAAACTAATGTTTTTGTTACAGCCCCTTATAAAAGGCCTGTTGTGATTCTTGGACCAATTTCTGATATTGCTACTCTGAAACTGGCCAGCGATCTTCCTGACCAGTTTGAACTTGCCCGTGAGTATGCATGGCTCTCTGACTTCATTCATATGGGAAAAGAGGTATCCTTGGTCAGTGGCGGGGTGGATGGTTTTAGGGCATAAGCTCAGTTGGACAGGTGCGATCTTGCATTTATACTTTCATGTTCATTCAGGTGTTCACCAATCCCTGAACCATGAAATGAGAGTCAAGTGTTAGCTGTTTGAAAATAAACCAACAATAAGGATTGTGCAATCGAAAAGGCATTCCCTACCCAAGAGAGACTTTTTGCTAGTCATCTCTCTCTCTCTCTTTCTCACTCTCTCTCTCACTTGGCAAACATAGAAAATGGCAGATAGGAAAAGATAAACACATCCATTAACCCTCTCTCAATTCCTGATCCTGGAGCAGGATGATTAAATGCTTCTTTTCTTCCTGTAACCATGTAACTACCTGAATAAGGAAATAAACAGAGAGAAAATAGTAGAGGGCCACAAAGGGGAAAAAAATCTGGGAAATTCCTCTTCAATCCCCTTAGGTAATCAAAATAAGCCTGTGGCATCACTTAGCCATGTTTATGGGAATTGGTAAATTGCACACCGTTTATAAAATGTGACGTCTGTTATAACATAAATCAACCTTCTTCTGTATCCATACAGAGAGTCAGCAGACATCTAACAAATTGACAATATAGATTTACTGCTCTCTGGGAAAGGAAGAACTACTTAACATTGACCTTATTCTCAGCCTTGCAAAATTTAAATGCACAATCTCTGATTTTCCCCAATCTTTAAAACAGAAAGAATCAATCAGCAGATATACAATGCTGCCCTTTGTTATTTTATACACTTTTATCAGGTCACTTGTAAGTCAACTAATCTATAAATCTCCCATAAAATTAATTTATGACTTTTCAGATGGGATTTATTCATATGCGTCTCAGAATTTTTATCAAAACTGTTGTGCCACTCACCATGCAAGGGAAACAGAACTGAACTCAGTGCCCTCAATATCATGTAACCAATGACCTGTACAAGGAAAGAATGGTAATCTTCAATGGGTATTGAATGGTTCTGTTGTAGCCCAGTACCCTGCTTTATTTGGCTGTGGCTTCTCTGTATTCATCATGAACACAGAGTGAGCTGTGGACTATATCCATTTCTTTTTCTAAAAGAAGTGCAACATATTGTGAATGCCACAACTTTTAAATAAAAATGGATAATGCTGGAAATATCAGCGAGTCTGGCAGCATCTGTGATGAGCGAAAAATAGTTCACACTTCATATCATTACCTTGTCCTTTAGATAAATTATTTTCTTCCCTGACCACTTATGGTATTCCTCATAAATGCTAATAAACATATTTAATGTTCATCTTGCCTACTTATACCTCACTGCATTTGTATCCATTAAATGACATTTACCACTTTTAGGCCCATTCCTCCAGTGCATGCAAATATTTTTGCAGGAAACTATTGCTTTTACAATAATTTGCTGACTTTACAGACCTAAAAATTAAGATATTCCTCAGTGTGAACATTTTCAATTTGTGCTTGGCAAACTTACTTCAATTTGGAAAAAAGGAATACCCTCTCCCCAGGGGAAATCACCTTGGCCAAAGTTTGGTGTATTGATTACTTCCAATCCACCTTCAAACATTCCCCCTAACTAAACAGCTGCGGAATAACAAAGTAAAATGCTTTCTTGCATTTACATATACCCTCATCACATCCTCAGGATGTCCTGAAGCACGTCAGGTCCACTTAGTTACATTTCGAATGTAGTCAGGTTTTCGAGGAGGCGGATGTGGCAGCTAAACTGTACATAAAAGGATCCAACAACAGCATTTAAGATAAATGACCAGGTTATCTGTCCGTATTCATTGTTGCATTATGATTGACATGGATATTCTGAATTCTCACTAATCTGACAATGTGTCCGTTCTAGAAATGGTACAGAGGAATTCCGAAGAAGCAGGATCATCCTCTGTCATCAAACTTGAAACTGTACGGCTAATAGCTCAAAAGGTGAGATGAGCTCGGTTGATTATGTAACAGTTAATTGTTGTTTGTTCAAATTATTAACAAGTAACCCAAATGACAGCTCTTTAGGTTAATGTGGCACCTTTGGACTAATACCGACCTGGAAAGTCTCAGGTTTGGTATCTGACCTGGGTTCATTGATCCACATCCTGGCAGCGGTTGGGATACTGCAATTGGCCTCAATGCTCCAGAATTAAAAAGGGAGCAAATCCATGATAGTAGTTAGTCCAATATGCACAAATGTGGGCATTAAGAAGCACAGACAGAAATATTTACTTTTGTGAAGGGACCCATAACAAGGGAACATAACGCCACATTACAACGAAGCTGTTAACCAGTGATGAGTTCTTCACACAATGCATCATTGGAAATCTGGTACTGTCCCTCAAAATCACTGTTAAGACTGAAGGATGGGAGGCATTTGGAAATTTCAAAACTCTAATTCTTAGCTTTTTGCTCGGCAGGCGTATTAAAGGTTTCAGAAGAAAGTCAGGTGTTTGGGGGGTGTATACAGTTCAGTCATGTCTTGTTGAATGGTGGACCAGAGTCAAGGGGCAACAATCTTGCCTACAGTTGAATACTTTGTTATGCTGACTCTTTATGCTGACATCTACATTAGAGCCATGGATACTGGAGGGTCATTAATGTACATGGAAGTGGAACCTGGCAAGGATCATTACCTTTAGGAGAGAGAAGGGGCAGGAGAATAATCATTAATTAAATAGATCAATCTATTGTGAAAATAGGGGAAAGGGTTGGAGTGACACTCAGTGAGAAATCTAATTTCAATTCAATTCACAGAACAAACATGGCCTACTTGATATCACACCTTCTGCCATAGAGCGACTAAATTACGTCAAGTGGTACCCGATTGTGGTATTCTTTAATCCAGAGAACAAACAGGAAGTGAAAGCCATGAGGCAGCACCTCTACCCTCAGTCAAGGAAAAGCTCCAAGAGTCTCTACAATCAAGCTGTAAAGCTGAGGAAATACTGGTCTCACCTCTTTACAGGTAAACGCTTCAGCTTCCAGTACACAAGATAATTTGGTGGCATCATTTTTCAACAACTTCCTAACAATAACTGATTCATTATTACATTTTGTTACCTCAGCTTTGAAATACCTGGAATGGCTTGAATAGAATGTCTTAAACCTACTGAACATGTTTTACAGAATGTGGTGACTGAATTAATCCAGTCCATGGTTAATGGGAATACCATCTTGAGAATTGATTTATCCGAATTAACAAAACACTGCAGTCAAATGCCCTGTTATTGCTGTCTACAGTAATTACATTGAATTCAGTGCACTTACGGGAAGTCAGATTATAACATGAGGAAGAGTGGATGTGCTGATACGGTTGGATTAAGGCAGGGAGGAGACTTACATGGCACACAGAGCAGCTGGGTCGAATGGCCTGTTTCTTTGTTGGACATTCTTTGTAATTCAGTGTAAGTTAGATTTTTGGATTATGTACCAAGGGTTTTCCAACTGCCTTGAGGAATTGAACTGAGCATTTACAGGAGATGAGGGGAGGCAAGCAACTTCCATCTGGGAATGGTTAGTTAAACTCAGCACACCCTGCCCACCCACGTAGACTTTACATACTTTCCAACCACCCTGTTCAGAAATATTCTTACACACCTCTGGAGCAAGTGGGGCTTGAACTCAGGCCCCCTGGTTCCCCCAGAGTTGATATGTTTATGATTCTGTTTCCTATTTAGCTGATTTCAGCTATGTTGAAAATGCTGATGACAGCATTCTTTTCCTTTTTCTGACAAGTTGCAGATTGAAGAGATAAAACAGCTCTGCCCTTAGTCTCTTACATGTGAAAAGAGAGAATTTATTCCAACACTCTTGTTAACATCAGGGGCTGGATTGTATCTCACCTGCTGATGGGTCTGAGGAGTGAGGAGCTTTGTTAAAATCTTTCACACTGCATTTACCAAGTTTGGGCAGCACCCACCTCTCATTAACTGAGAACCTTAAATAGTAAATTAATTCCTTCTTAAGGGCCTGATCCCACAGCTACCAGAATTTACCAAGAGGTTGGAGAGGCCTAACACAGTCTACCTGGGCTGGTAATGGACACGGTTATCCATTCCTGGGCTCACCGGAGGAGCTTCACAAGGTTTTACCTCAGATTGACATTCGGCAAACGGCAAACTCTAGCGCCCCCACCTCCCTTCCTGGGCACTGTCTCTCAGCGGCCAGTGAGGCCTCCAAATCTTGATTTAACACTGCATATCTGTCCTGAAGTACAGGTGTATTATTGACATTTGGTTGGTAGCTCTCTGAGTTTGGACATACTATCCTGATGGGTGGAAACCCTGCCTCCAGTTCATCAGTAATGGCTGTGAGCTTTTAGGTGCTCCCCTTAATTTTCCTTCCCGTCTTTTTAGCTGGGGCATAGCAATTTTGGTGCCTCATATAGTTCAGCCCCATTATATTTCAGGGAACTACATTTATTCATCTATGACAACTGTAGAGATATCAGCTATGAACACTAATAATGGATTAACTGGGGGTGCCTCCTTGAAGCCAGCTCTCACAGAAGAATTTACAGAGATATTAAAAGATATGTAACCGGATAGAGATATGTTAGGCCATGGAGGAGATGAGGGCACATGTTCAACGCTGGGAATGGCAGTTTTTGAACTAATATTTTTCTTCATATAAAGAGTGATTTTCAGGCTCAATGGGCTGAATAGGCTACCACTGCTCGTATATTCTTCTGTCTTTCTCTATGTTCCTAGTAACAATTGTAACTGGTTGGCAGGCCTGGTTTTAGGCTGTTTGAGAAACGGTTGCTTTTATGGAAGAATTTCTTTACCTGCAGTTTTGCACATTCTCTCGGATAGGCCTCAATTACATGAAGGTCCAACTCAATGCAGACAATGTTGTCAGTCCTTCTATTGACCAGCTTCCAATCTACATAACACTCTCCGCAGTAGAACTGCACTAACACACTGCAGTGAATTTACTTTGCTGTCTTCCTTTGTTCCTATAATTATTAGGCAATGACTAGTCACAGCTACATCCCTCGTTATGGGTTTCTCAACTAAAATACAAAGAATTGTTTTATGACATTCTGTTGACAGCCTCCTTAGCAACAATTGTGGGTAAGACTCAGTCTAGGTTACAGTGCTAAAACCATTACTTGGCATATGGTAACCTCTCTCCTTTACCAAGTGGCATCTATAGTGCCATTCAACATTCATGCAAATTCCCAGTTTTTTCCTATTCTGGTTCAAGTACAAATCCAAGCAGAACTGTGGTCTATTCTGAGGGCTGTTTGGATAATTACATTCTTTAATTTTATGGATTTTATCCACAGGTACAATAAATCTGAATTCTGGTTCTAGTGCCTGGTATGAAGCTTTGAAAGCAACAATTAAGGAGCAGCAGACTCAGGCTGTGTGGTTTCCTGAAGAAAAGGTAATTTTTTTTTCTCTTTGAATATTCCAGTCAAGTTATTCCATGCAACAAACTCAAATGTCATCAGCTTACAGTATGTTCCACCTCATGTGGAGGGTATCATTGAAAATGGCTTATCTTTAGCTTCTCAATGAGTCACGTAATAAGTACACTACCCCCGAAGCCGTACTGAGCCAAAAAGATTAGAACGGTCTGAGATTTTGTTCTGAGTAAGTTAACCTGGTGTCCTGGTGAAAATTCCTCTCTCAAACAACATTGTCATATTGGAAATAGTTTGTAGGGATTCTTTTTCAAACAATTTTGTCATAAATCTGTCAAATAAATTTTGTTGTATCATTTTTAATCCATCCCATTTTATGACATAAAGCCTCCAATGCAGTTAGCCTTAGAATGGTTGGGGTTGGTGATTAAATATTGCTTGCAGGAGCAGCATGTAATAAAGGATAATGGAGCTATGGTGAAGAAATGTTGCCGCATTGCTAAAGCAAATCTGAAGATTTATTTAGATTTTAGTATTAAATTAATCATCTCATAGCAATTTATAGCCAATGAAGTATTGTTGTAATGTAAGATACACGGCAACCAATCTGTGCACTGCAAACTCCCACAAACAGCAGTGGAATAAAGATTACATAATCTGTTTTATTTTGTCATGTTAATTGAGGGGTAAATATTGGCTAGGTGAGTGGAAATAAACATCCATCCTGTTCTTTCTCACAGTAATGCCACAGGGTATTTTACATCCATCGGAACAGATAGGTGGGGCCCTAGTTTAATGTTTCATACAAAAGAGAGCTCCTCTGACAATGCAGCAGACCTCCAGTACAGGTACAGCTGTGGAGCATAAACCTAGATTTGTTTCTGAGACTCTGGAGTATAATTTGAACCCAGATACACATGTGAGAGTACTACCAACTGAGCCTTAGCTGACACCATAAGGAGTATAATCAGGATTAAAGAACCAAGCAGCCTTTCCTTATTCTGTACTTTCTTTCAGTCTGAAGAAACAGGGGCTGAGAACCTGGAACTGCTGAACCGATCGACCAGCATGAGCATGGATTACCTGAGCTGTGATGAGAGCAGAGCAAACAGTGATTACGAGGACACAGACGCAGAAGGCGGAGCTTACACAGATAATGAACTGGATGACACACTAGATGAGCCTGCAATCATTAGATCTTCTGAACCAGTTAGGACTGAAGCATCCCACATCTCCATGGAAGCAGCCCATGAAGCACCAATGGCCCACTCACAGGTAAATGAATTGAGGGATGCAGTCTCAAATCATGCTTAAAAAATGCTTGAATCAGAAAAGGGAAATTGTGGGTCCGATGGAACTTCTCACAAATTCTAGATCTGATGGCCTGCATCCAAGGGTTGTAAAAGAAGTGATTGCAGAGATAATGGATGCATTGGTTATAATCTTCCAAAATTCCTTAGGCTCTGTGAAGTTCCCAGTGGATTGAAAAATCGCAATTGTAACTTCTCTATTCAGGAAAGGAGAGAGACGGGAAGCAGGAAACTGTAGGCCAGTCAACCTAACATCTGTTGTGGGAAAATACTGGAATCTATTTATAGAAAATTGTAGCAGAACATTTAGAAGATCATAATACCATCAATTGGAGTCAACATAATTTTGTGAAAGGGAAATCATGTTTCATAAATTTGTTAAAGCAACAAGGAGGGTGGATAAAGGGGAATCAGTAGAAGCTGTGGACTACACAGGTACGACATTGTCATGTCGGGAGTGACATATTAACATGCAGAGAAGACTGGATAATTAACAAGAAACAGACTCAGGATAAATAAAAAATTAACAGCATTGGCAAACTGTAATGAGTGGAGTATCACAGCGATCAGTGCTAAAGATTCAACTATTTACAATTTAATAATAACTTAGACAAAGGGCAGACTGTTGTAATCAAAGGAAGGAAAACAAATTATGAGGAGGAACAATTGCCTGCAGGAATACATGGAAAGGTTATGCAATTGAGGAAAACTTTGGCAGGTGGAGTACAATGTTAGGAAACATAAATTTTTAATCAGTAAGGAAATGAAGGGTTATGGGGAAAAGACAGGAAAGTGGAATTGAGAGTTACTAGATCAGCCACATTCTCATTGAATGGTGGAGAAGACTTGATGGGTTGAGTGGCCTACTTCTGCTCCTAGGTCTTATTGCTTTAAACATGAGGTTATACACTTTGCCAGGAAGAATAGAAAAGCAGAATATTTAAACAGAGAGAGACTACTCAATGCAACAGTACAGAGGGATCTGGAAAGTTGGCAAGCAGGTACAGAGAGAATTACAAAGGCAAATGGAATGTTGGCTTCTTACACAAGGGAGTTAGAGTTGCTACAGCTGCACAGGGCATTGGTGAGACACACTTAGCGTACTGTATACAATTTTCATCTCCTCACTTACAAAAAGATTGCCAATTTAAGACCAAGGTGAGGAGGAATTTTATCTCTGAGAGGGTTGCTAGCCTTCGAAGTTTTCTTCCAAAGGGAGCAGTGAAGGCTGGGTCATTAAATTTTTCAAGGCTGACTTAGACAAACTTTTGATGTACAAGTGAGGCGAGATTTATGGAGGCAGGCAGGAAAGCGGAGTTGAGGCCACTCACTCGATCTTATTGAATGGTGGAGCAGGCTTGATGGGCTGAATGATGGATCCCTGCTACTTTTTGTCTTACGATGGGGTCTGATAGCTTAGTCTGCTGAATGGCTGGTTTGCAATGCAGAGTGATACCAACAGCATGGGTTCAATTCCCACATCAGCTCCTTCTCAACTTTACCCCTCACCTGAGACATGGTGACCCTCAGGGTAAACCATCACCATTTGTCTCTCTTTAATGAGACAGCAGTCCTATGGTCTGATAAGTCTGTGGTGAGTTTACCTTTTTATTTCTTATGACCTTACAACTTAGAACAATAACTGGCTTGATCACCATATGATTCCAATCATTTTTTTTCATTTGAGAAGTCAAATAGAAAATCTTCAACTTACTGTTTTGCTCAACAGATAGGGAATAAAAGCGCAGGATTATAACAACCCTCCCTGGATCTATTAATAGAAGTATTACAGTCTGCAAGTAGCCTCAGTGGGAACAACTTCCTGAATTGTGACATAAAAGTAGTGCCAGAGTAATATTATCCATTAACAGTATTTAGAAAAATCAGACGTGAGTGCAAAGAGACTGGAAGCTATTATAGTGTATCATTGAATTTACAACATTATGACAGTGCACAACCCTGTATTCTAACTGCCATCATTATTGGGCAACTGGTCTTGAGTTTTCATTTTAAAAAAAGTGAAGTACTTATAGCCACAAGCTTAGTTTTAACATTAGACGTGCGAATTTGACTTCAGAATTTCACTTTTCCACTACTCAAACAATAGAAATACTCATTACAAACCTATGTGAAAGTTGCTGTATTGATGCACTTGAATTTATTTGTTTGTTCCACAGATCCAGCCTCAGGGTCAGTACAGGGATCCTCATTTCGCAAGGTGAGTGTTGATTGGGTGTCTCTCCCACAGCCACTTCCTTACAGGAATTTTCCATGCACACATTCCAACAGACTGCACCATTTTTGCATCATGAAACTGAAATTCTCCATTAGGCTAGTATGAAAGCACAACTCTCACCAGATTTCTGAAATGAGAAACATCTGGAATTCAAATCATAACAAATGAGGGAGGAATATTGGAATTTTGATGGAGATGACAGCTCATAAAATTCTTGGAATGTGAAACTTTGAAATGTGGGATTTACTGTTCATTCTGAGTCTACATCTTTGACAATTTGTTAGTGCATGGTTCATGTTAGAGAAATACGATGCCATATCAGGAGTTGAACATTACAGCTGAACTCCTGACTACCCATGAACAAAGCTGCTGAAGATTTCCCAGTTCACATGTTTAAACACAGTTACAGCTTTTAATAACCCGAGTACAACACTTCAGACAAGCCTCTTATTGATTTCTTCAGCCTAACCAACCTGCTTGTTACCCATTGGTCAGTGTTAATGTTTGTGGTGTGTAAGTCCCCAGTTTACAAATGAAGAATTGGCAAGGGACTGGAGAGCAACCCCCTCCCAACTCCAAATCCAGCCATGGTAGGTTTATCGCCTTTGATGAGAAGGAAGTTGGAGGTAGTCATTTGGAGACGGCCTTGAAGATCTGTTCTACAGTTCCAAGTCTGTCAGATTGGAGCTCCATTCATTTGAGGTCAAAAGACTGCATTCAAGTCTCTTACATGCCCACATAATCTCGGCTAACGTCAGGACAACACCGAATGAGTACTGTATCAGCAGAGATGCCATCTCCTTCAGCTAAGGTGCTAAAGTGAGCTCGTCCATCTAGACTCCCATGGTGCCATTTGAAACACAGCAGAGGGTGCGTTTGCTCTCAACCAAGCACTAAAAAGTTCATTAACTAGTTTGGTGATTGTTATGCATTCATGTTTGGCATTAATAGTTTCTTGGTTTCAGGGCCTTCTTCCTAATTGTAACAGTTAGACAACAGGAATATCTTTGGCAGGATCCACTTGTGATCTAGATCAGATTATCTTTGTCTCGAAGTAGACTGGATGAGATGAAGCTTGATAAAACATAAAGAGCAACAGATAGAAACAATAGTTTAGTTCAATTGTTACTACTCAATTCACAGAGTAATGTAAAATATGAAACAGGCAAGTCTACAACAATCTCATTGGGTTGTCCTACTAACTGTAAACTGAATAATCCCTATGCATCCTGTTTTACAGCCTAGATAAGAACTATCTTCCCGCTGTATCCTTCTTTACCTGTCTATAGAGCCTCTTCTCCTTAAAGGGTGTCTCCCTTTGTTCTAGTCTCAAAATTCAAAGAACATGTCCCCTTCATGTGTCAACTGAGCTTTCCACTACAAAGAACTGTTGAATAGCCAAACTAATAAATTGCTAATTTCAGTCTCTGGAAGCAGCAGCTTCAATTTAGCATTAACCGTATTTTATCTGGGTGCTTATTTTTTTAAAAGTGTGCGTGGCTTTTAAAATGCAACATAGAAAGCAATATGTTTTCCAGTTCACTTCTTTGGGTAACTTGCCAAAATCTCCAGAGTGTGGCTGATGGGAAAGAGCAAAAACATTGTCTAATTTTGTTTGTTGGATTTTGCTACTTACAAATTGGCTGCTTGAAGTCACCCATATTTCAAAGTAATTCAGTGGATCTTGTACTATTGTATGTGAATGCAGGTTATTAATTTAGATAAGTAGTGAATATCTCTTTATTAATCTCTTTCAAAGGCTACATAAACAGGATCTCAATGCAATCACATCCAGACGAGATCTAATCTACAGTTCGGATGAAGATGATGATGACGAATGGAATGGACCGGCCACTGAGTTATAAACCAAGGCCCATCAAACAACTCTTCTTGCACTGGAACAATGTTTAAACAATCAAAGGACAGTTCTACTGCTCTAAGCAGTAACTAAATTTGTTTTTAACTCCTTCATAAATGATTTATTTTAAACAAACATGACATTGTTACGATAATTCCCACTTCTCAGTAATTAGAAAAGAGGCAAGTGCTTTGACATATATCATATCTCAGTTTCTGAAACACTAGGTGGATTAATGTATCATTCAGTATGGTACGTGACAGGATGTTTCCATTCAATCCTTGGTCTGTGTATAGTTAACCGAGTACTGTGAAGTGATTTTAGGGTTACACTTGGATTCATGCGCTACCTTTCCCTAAGTCCAGAAGGACAAAGCTGTCAAGGCTTCTGTTCTGGTAGTTATTCAGCAGCTCCTGATGGAAGGTACTTGTGTCAATGTCACTTGCACTCTTTGTTGATTTCACAGACCAAGAATTAAACCTGAGACTCTCTGAATCTTGTGCTTCTTAATAGAATCATCTTCATAAGACTTTCCATCCACATTTTTATTGAAAACAATCAAACTGTGCGATCACAAATAAGAACAAAAACATGGGAAATATCAGCAGTTCAGGAGGCATGGAGTAAAATAGAAGTAGGAAAGTTGACGTTTCAGGTCGGGACCCAACATGTTCTGAAGAAGAGTCCTGACCCGAAACGTTGACTTTCCTGCTCCTCTAATGGTGCCTGACCTGCTGTATTCCTCCAGCTTCACACTGTGTTGACTCTGACTCCAGCATCTGCAGTTCTTACTATCTTGGAGTAAAATAGAATACTCCTTTCAGTTTGATGTCTTTTCATCAAAGGAACTGCTGCCCAAAGTTTTCTTACAGAGGGTTTATGATTGTACTTTCACTGAACGGGAAGTTTCTGGTTTGTTTCGGTGATATGTTTAGAGTAATGCACTGAGTTATTTGCTAGATGATGCAAATAAAAATTATTTTAGGATTTTTTTTATTATGAAACACCCCACCATACCAACAATTGTGAATACCCCACCAGCATAATTGATGGCAGAGACTGATGAATATTTCAGATTCAATCATGGTGCAATGTTTCTTTTGATTCACTCGCAGCCTCAGTGCTGCTGGCAAGGCTAACAATCATCAGCCTTCCCTGACTGTCCTTGGGAAAAGCGATAGTGAGCTACCTTCACCTCAGTCCATCTGGCACAGATACACCTGGGGAAGAAATTCCAAGATATTTTCCCAGTGACAATGAAGAATGGTGATATATTTCCAAGTCAGGATAGTGCATGGCTTGGAGGTGAATTTGCAGGTGTTGGTGTTCCAAAGAAGGATACTCAAATAGTACTCAATTTCTCTATTCTACATAGCCTCTCACTATTCAACAATCTCAGCAGGAAAGGGCACATTAAGCGGCTGCAGTGAAATATAAACAGAAAAATGCTGGAAATAATCAGTGGTTAGGCAGCATTATGTTTGAAAAGCAACAAAGTTAACATGTCAAGTTGATGGTACAGGCTTTAAGCAAGTACAGAAAAGGGAGGTCGCAGGCAGGATGCCTAAAAAGACCAAACAACAAAAGGGATGCTGAAGCAAGACAAGGGCAGGATGATGGAACAGGAAACTAAAATGGATCTAAAGGAGGTTTAAATTTAGCTACTGTGTGAAAATATGAAAAGAGGTTATAAGTTGAAATTGTTGAACTCAATGTTGAGTCCAGAAGGCTGGAAAATGCCTAATCGAAAGATGAAATGCTGTTCCTCATTCATAATCTGAGTGTCATTGAAATATAGAAGGTCAAGGATGTAGGTCTGAGTGAGAATTAGTTGGCAACTGAAGTGACTGCATTCAATAATCATACCTTCACATCAAATATTCACAGAAACCTGAAGGAAAAGAAATCATGAATAAAGATCGAAAGAACTGCAGATGCTGTAAATCAGAGACAAAAACAGAAATGGAAGAGTCACTGGACCTGAAATATTAACTCTAATTTCTCTCCACAGATACTGCCAGATCTGCTGAGCTTTTCTAGCAACTTCTATTTTTGTCTCTGGAAATAAATCATGAGTTAATCCAATGTGAAGAAATGACAAATATATTTCGAAGTCAGGATGGTGTGTGGCTTGGAAGATGACTTGTAGGTGTTGGTTTTCCAATACATCTGCTGTCCTTTTCCTTCTAGATGGTAGAGTTTGGAAGTTTGGAAGGTGATGCTAAAGGAGCTTGAACATGTGCTACAGTGTATAGTACACATAGCTACCACTCTCCTTGATGTAGTGGATAGTGTGTCCTTGATAATTTCAACCTTCTTGCATGTTGTTGGAACTGCACACATCCAGGCAAGTAAACAATATTCCATCACACTCCTGACTTATGTCTTATGGATGGCAGATAGGCTTTCGGAAGACAGAAAGTGAGTTAATCACCACAAAATTCTCAGTTGAGTACACGAGTTGGAACATCTTACTGCTTCCAAGTTTAACATTTTTTTTGTCCAAACTTTCACCTAGTCAATTTAATTTGAATTTTGACATGATAAACAATGCTTGAATAAAGGAATAACAGGTATGCTGAGGCTGTACGCAGCCTGAAACAGTGAACTCGGTTTGTGCTCAGTTCGGCCAATAACAAACAATGCCAACTGCATTGCAACCCTTTATCCTATGGTAAAGAGGGAGAGTGATCCTAAACCGTATGAATATTCAGTCTGTTGGGTTATCTTATTCAGCCATCAGAGTATTCATAGAATCGGAATCATAGCACAGGAGATCTTACAGCCAATCAAGTCTACATCAAGCTACTTCAAGGCCAATCCACTTGGTCTCACAGTTGCCTTTCATTTTGTTAAAAACAGCACTTTGCCAACAGCTTTACAGCTTCAGGGTAACACCAACATTCCTCAACCAGCACTGAAGTATGTTTAGAACAATTGTTCAGCATTTCCCTTCTCTTGCTCCACTTCCAGTTCTTTTTACATTTAGGTAGTGCTGCTCAGACAATTATTTTTGTCAACTATTCCTGCCAGTTCTCTTAACATATTTGACTGTACAAGAGGCATTAATGCCTTTCTGTTAGCAGAAGCATTTTACAGGATTCTCTGATTTAAAATACTGACCCATCCATGAACACTATCCCGGACCACACTAGTGTCCATGGAACTGAATATGAACAGGAGAAAGTTGATTCAGGTAAGGAGCGGTGTGAGTTGGAAGTAATCTAAGTGTCAATTTAATCGAGCATCCAAATAATAAAGCCACTGAACTCCCACTAGGTGGGTAACTAGATTCAACATCTCTGTTCCCAACAATTTTTCTGTTGGGAGGGTTATGTTGGATTAGATTCACTGAAGTTATTTCACAAATGCCACTGTATTGAGAATAAAAGTGGGCAATCTTTAAAAGGTACTCATAGTTCTTCCCGTGATGTTTAGTTTTGCTTATTTGGAATAAGTTTGGCCAGCCTCACTTCCTGATGAGCAAAGGTCCCTAGCACGAAACTGTCCCTAATTTGGCATTCAACGACTATTTTCAGTCTTTCATGATGTGGGAAACAATGAAAAGTGCATGGATATCAAAATGTCACTTCTATTCTCCATCAGCTTCACAGACAAGGGATTGAAGTTGGGACTTTACGGCCTTGCTGCATTTAGTAATATTGACAATTCTTTTAAAGCATAATTTAAAAAAAGAATTCTACAGTCATAAATGAATTATGTCAACTGTAACTGCCACAATATGGACAGGTGATACAATGAGCCTGGGAAATTCCCAGCATTGATCTGGGTTCAGCAGTTGGGAAGTCACAATTGGCCTTCAGTATCTCTGAGGCAATATGGAAAACATTCCTGAGGTTGGACCTTTCTGATCCAGAAGAACCTGGCATTCACACATTTTGGGACTGAACTGGGCGTGTGTTCAGTTACCCTGTATCTTCAGGGTGCAAAAATTACCACTGCGTGTATAGTCTGCTGAGGAGAGTAAGGTATTTTGTCTCAGCAATATCTTGTATGCAATAAATGGACGGCAAGGAACGTAGAGCTCCATTGCAGCTTTGGTTGTGCCATATTGCGTTGGAAGAGGTTTGTATTGGAACACAGGCACGTGCTGCCCCTTTCTGTTGCCTTTGTATAATCAGGAGCTTTTTGTTTTGACAGGTTCTCTTGTAAGCAACTGTTTTTGTAAGATTACATATATATATGTCAATAAAATGTATGTTTTTACTATATATTAACTCGTTTCTTACTGGTATATACCAGTGCTGTGTAACCTTACCAGTGTTCAGAGGCTCTACAGTCTTGTTTATCTTCTGTTCAATATTGTGTTCAAGCACTTCATAAATTGCTCTGGGAGGAATGCAAACAACAAATTAACCTTTTCTCCTCCTCTCCATAAGTGGCAAATGCTTAATGTGAAATGGTTACATTGGAACCAGTAGTTCAACAAGCAAATGTTCATTATGGAGTGTTGTCTGTTTTTTTTAAAAAAATGTAATTTTAGCCCAAACTGCCTCTTATAATTTATCCCTTTACCTTGAAGTCTGTAACTGTGAATTCTCAAATAACTGATCTGTTTGAACTTAGGTAGCTTCAGTTAAAACCCATAGAAAAGTTACTGCACAGAAAGAGGCCATTCAGCCCATTGTGTTCATGCTGGTCAAAAGAGAAAGAAACAACTCGCTGCTTATTTTAGTGCCACCTTCCAGCACCGGGTTCAAAGCCTTGCAGGTTATAGTGCTTCAGATGCAGATGCAGGCATCTTTTAAATTAGATGAAGGTTTCTGCTTCAATCCTCAATCCAAGCAGTGAATTCCAGTCACTCACGTCCTTCTGGGTGAAGAGGTTTTACCTCATGCTCCCTGGTGATCTGACCTCTCCACTTCGAGAAACAAGACTTTCCCATCTATCTTATCTAGGCCCCTCATAATTTATTACACCTCATTTAAGTCACCCCTGAGCCTTCCTGCTCAAAGGGGGAACAAGCCTAGCTTATCCAATCTCTCCTCATATCTGCAATTTTCAAATTAAGAAAAAGAAATTCATCCGTGGGGTGCAGGCATCAATGTTTGGGTCAACAGTCATGATCCATCACTAGCTACCCTTGGGAACGTGGTGGTGAGCTGTCTTCTTGAACCACTGCAGTCTATTTGGGGTGGATACATCCACAATGCTATTAGGGAGACTGCAGTAATTTTGAGATCACTAATTTTGAGGTTCTGTTTTTCAATTTACTTTCTAGCTCCCTAAACTCTGCTGTGAGGAAATCCCCCTTCCCAAGTCTTTGGTACTAACATGGACCACGAGCTCTGGCTGCATCAGCTTTCCCCAGAAAAATGTCAACCAGCCATTCCTGACCTGAGCACCAGAAGTGCAACGGACCATGCTGGAGTCACATCTACAGACGCAGAAATGCTTCTTTGTTCCCCAACTAGTGAATACAATATCTTATCACTGATGTTGTTTCCCTTTACTTCCTCCCCTCCTGCACAGCACAGTCACTTATGATACCACAGGCTTGGCTTGAACTATACTCCTCCATTGCCCCTACATCCTCACCAATATCCAAAAGAGAAAACTGACCTGCAAGCTGGACTCCAGAGGACTCCTGTACTATGGGTAGGCAGTGGCCTAGTGGTATTATCACTAGACTATTAATTCAGGAAACCCAGCTAATGTTCTAGGGATTCCAGGTTTGAATCCCGCCATGGCAGATGGTGGAAGTTGAATTCAATAAGGGGGGAAAAAAAAGTCTGGAATTAAGAATTAATTGTTGGAAAAATTCATTTGGTTCACTAATGCCCTTCAGGGAAGGAAATCTGCCATCCTCACCTCGTCTGGCCTACATGTGACTCCAGACCCACAGCAATGTGGTTGACTCTCAATTGCCCTCTGAAATAGCCTAGCAAGCCATTCAGTTGTACCAATTGCTACAAACACTCAAAGAAATGAAACTGGATGCATCACCTGGCATCGACCCAGGCACCGAAAAAGACAATGACAGAGACAGTTCTGTCGACCCTGCAAAATCCTCCTCACTAACTCCTGAGAGCTAGTGCCAAAATTGGGAGAGATGTCTCACAGACTAGTCAAGCAACAGCCTGACATAGTCATACTCACAGAATCATACCTTACAGACAATGCCCCAAACACCAACATCACCATCAGGTCTGGCAGCATCTGTCAAGAAAAAAAAATCAGAGTTAACGTTTCGGGTCCAGTGACCCTTCCTCAGAGGACCTGAAATGTTAACTCTGATTTTTTTCTTGACAGATACTGCCAGACCTGCTGAACTTTTCCAGCAACTTCTGTTTTTGTTCCTGATTTACAGCATCCGCAGTTCTTTCAGTTTTTATCAACATCACCATCCGTGGATATGTCCTGTCTCACTGGCAGGACAGATTCAGCAGAGGTGGTGGGAGGGAGTTGCTCTGGGAGTCCTCAACATTGACCCTGGACCCCATGAAGTCTCAGGGCTTCAGGTTAAACATGGGCAAGGAAACCTCCTGCTGATTACCACATACCATCCTCCCTCAGCTGATGAAACGGTACTCCTCCATGTTGAACAACACTTAGAGGAAGCACTGAGGATGGCAAGGGCACAAAATGTACTCTGGGTGGGGAATTTCAATGTCCACCACCAAGAGTGGCTCGGCAGCACTAATACTGATCGAGTTAGTCGGCTCCTAAAGGACATAGCTGCTAGACTGGATCTGCAGCAGGTGGTGAGGGAGCCAACAAGAGGGAAAAACATACTTGACCTCATCCTTACCTATCTGCCAGCTGCAGTTGTATCTGTCCATGACAGTATCAGTAAGAGTGACCACTGCACAGTGCTTGTGGAGACGAAGTCCCGCCTTCACATTGCGAATAACTTCCATCGTGTTGTGTGGCATTATCAACGCTCTAAATGGGACAGATTTCGCACAGATCTAGCAACTCAAGGCTGGGCATCCATGAGGCACCGTGGGCCATCAACAGCAGCAGAACTGTACTCCAGCACAATCTGTAACCTCATGGCTCAGCATATCCCCCACTCAAACATTACTATCAAGCCAGGGCATCAACCCTGGTTCAGTGAAGAGTGCAGGAGGGCATGCCAGGAGCAGCACCAGGCATACCTGAAGATGAGGTAGCAACCTGGTGAAGCCACCAAACAGGACTACTTGCACACCAAACAGCATAAGCTGCAAGTCATGGACAGAGCTAAGCGATCCCACAACCAACGGATGAGATCTAAGCTCTGCAGTCCTGCCACATCCAGTGGTGAATGGTGGTGGACAATTAAACAACTCACTGGAGGAAGAGGGTCTATAAATATCCCCATCCTCAATGATGGAAGAGCCCGGCACATCAGTGCAAAAGATAAGGCTGAAGCATTCGCAGTAATCTTCAGTCAGCAGTGTCGAGTGGATGATCCATCTTGGCCTCCTCCAATGGTCCCCAGCATTACAGATACCAGTCTTCAGCCAATTCGATTCACTCCACGTGATATCAAGAAATGGTTGAAGACACTGGAAACTGCAAAGGTTACGGACATTGACAACATTCTGGCAATAGTACTAAAGACTTGTGTCCCATAACTTGTCACTTCTCTAGCCAAGCTGTTCCAGTATAGTTACAACACTGGTATCTACCCAACAATGTGGAAAATTGTCCAAGTACGTCCTGTACATAAAAAGCAGGACAAATCCAACCCGGCCATTACCACCCCACCAGTCTACTCTCGACCATTAGTAAAGTGATGGAAGGTGTCATCAACAGTGCTATCAAGCAGCACCTGCTCAGCAATAACCTGCTCAGCGACGCCCAGTTTGGGTTCTGCCAGGCCCACTCAGCTCCTGACCTCATTACAGCCTTGGTTCAAACATGGACAAAAGAGCTGAATTCCAGAGGTGACCTGAGAGTGACAGCGACAGCCCTTGATATCAAGGCTGCATTTGCCCGAATGTGGCATCAAGGAACCCAAGCAAAACTGGAATCGATGGGTATCAGGGGGCAAACTCTCTGGTGGTTGGAGTCATACATGGCACATAGGAAGATCGTTGTAGTTGTTGGAAGTCAATCATCTCAGCTCCAGGACATCTCTGCAGGAGTTCCTCAGGATAGGGTCCTCAGCACAACCATCTTCAGTTACTTCATTAATGATCTTCACTGCATCATAAGATCAGAAGTGGGAATGTTTGCCGATGATTGCGCAATGTTCAGCACCATTCGCAACTCCTCAGATACTGAAGCCGTCCATGTTCAAATGCAACAAGATCTGGACAATATCCAGGCTTGGGCTGTCTGGTGGCAAGTAACATTCACGCCACACAAATGCCAGGCTAGGACCACCTCTAATAAGAGACAATGTAACCACCGCTCCTTGGCATTCAACGGAGTTACCATCACTGAATCTCCCCTTATCAAAATCCTGGGGGCGATCTTTGACCATAGACTCAACTGGACTCACCACATAAACACGGTGGCGACAAGAGCAGGTCAGAAGCTAGGAATATTGCGGCAAGTAAATCACCTCCTGACTCCTCAAAGCCTGTCCGCGATCCACAAGGCACAAGCCAGGAGTGTGATGGAATACTCCCCACTTGTCTGGATGGATGCAGCCCCAACAAAACTCAAGAAGCTTGACACCATCCAAGACAAAGCAGCCCGCTTGATTGGCACTACATCCACAAGCATCCACTCCATCCCCCACCGATGCTCAGTAGCAGCAGTGTGTACTAACTACAAGATGCATTGCAGAAATTCACCAAAGATCCTCAGGCAGCACCTTCCAAATCCATGACCACTTCCATCTAGAAGGATAAGGGCAGCAGATATACAGGAACACCAGTATCTGCAACTTCCCCTCCAAGCCACTTATCATCCTGACTTCGAAATACATCGCCATTCCTTCACTGTCACAGGGTCAAAATCCTGGAATTCCATCCATAGTGACATTGTGGGTCAAACTACAGCAAGTGGACTGCAGCGGTTCAAGAAGGCAGCTCACCACCAGCTTCTCAAGGGCAACTAGGGTAGGGCAATAAATGCTGGCCAGCCAGCCAAACCCACATCCCACAGATTAATAGAAATGAAACCTGCCTGGCAGTCGACCATTCCCTCCCAACTCTCAAGCTGCACCAGGGGTGACCACCTCTCTGAACATGCTATTCACACAGCTCTCAGCCCTGTGGTCTACCAGTGACTCCAACTATTGCTTGAATTCTGAAACACATAATTCAGGTTTCT